TATTTTTAATCTCGTGTATTTATTAATTTTGGTTGACGAACCCAGATTTCGACTCAAAAATAGTGATTTTTGGGTGGAATCGATGTTCTAAATCGTTTCTGATCCTTTTAGAGATGTCCAGAAGCCAAAATCCACCAAGAAATATGTTTTTCAAGGGGTTTTTCGTTTTTGACGAAAATTTTTAAATCTTTTAACCTTGATTAATTATTGCATGTTGAAGGTAGATTAAATGTATGGTTGCATCCCTAATCTACTGCAATTATAAACCTCATTAAGCATGTTTATGAAGTCATAATTGGTGCTTAATTTGGTATGTTCACTTTTCACATAAACTTATATTTTTCACATTATTGCAAATAAATTGCTTTAAGTGTCAATGTTTATGGTGAACTTGCAATTTTGAAGCCCCTAAAATTTCAAAGATTCAATCTTTAATTGTTTATTTGGTTGGAACTTTGATTGCTAAATTCCATGTTGAACTAATTTTTGGATTTAATCATTTTGTGTTGATTAAAGTCCTTAAAGTTTAAAACTTGTGATTGAATTTTGATTAATCTTCATATTGGAAGATGTAATTTTTCAATTTTACACAAGTTATTTTTAGAAAAAATTTCATTAGATGAAAGGGTTTATTTTTCCAACTCCCTATTTTGTCAAAACTCATTATTAATTTGAATTAGACTTGTCTGGACATAATTATCTTGAGTGGTTAGTTGATGCAAAAATGAATTTAAAGGCTCAAGGACTATAACATACTATTCAAGAAATTTCCATTTCAGCTAGCTTAGGGAAAAGAAAAGATGCCATGCTCAAGTCAAGACTTTTACTGAACAAGCGAAAGCAAAAGATATTGCTCTCTTGAGGCACCATTTACATAATAGTCTAAAAACTAAATATTCAATGGTAGAAAATCTTAATAAATTGTGGGATAGTCTCAAAAGAAGGTATGACCACCACAAAAGGGTACTCCTTCCTTTAGTACAGTTTGACTAGACAAACCTGAGATTTAAGGATTTTACATTTGTAAGTGATTAAAGTTCATCATTTTATAAAATTGTATCAACATGAGCTATTGTAATCAACCAGACACTAAAGAGAAAATGATAAAGAAAACACTCTCTACATTCCATGCTAATAACATAGTATTGCAACAATAATACCATGAAAGAGGCTTTGTAAAATATTCTGAGCTCTACATAATTGGTTGCTGAAAAGAATAATGATCTTATTTTGAAGAATCACAACCTATACCAACTAGGTCTCAAGCATTTAATGAAACAAATGTTGTCGAAAGCTTAAATCCACCCGAGACAAATGTTGCTCATAGAGGTGGACGTAAAAAATATAATAACCGTTGTAGAGGTCGTGGACATTTTTGCAGACGTGGTCGTGGTAGGGACCGTTTCTCCCCTAGAAACAACACTCAAAAGGGTCATCAACAAGGAAATAAAAATCTAGCCACCACAAAAGGGAAAGACACATGTTATAGATGTGGCATGGCTGGACATCGAGGACGTACCTGTCGTATATGGTCGAACACTTGGTAAAACTGTATCAAGAATCCATAAAAGACAGAGGAAAATATGATGAAATAAATTATGTTAGTGAAGAAAATTCCCCTAGACCTAGCCTTGATATGTCTGATTTCTTCATAGACAACACTGAAGTTGGAAGTGACTTTATCTTTGGAGAAAATAAGATAACCCATCTAATATTATGACATGTATTATGTTTTCCTTTATGTACTTTCCTTTTGTATTTTTCATTCGAGTTATGTACTTTTAATTTCCATTATCAATAAAATAAGTTCATTTTATTTATTCTAAACAAATCTCATACTTATTTTATGAAAATATGGATCTGCTTGAAGTTGGTTCCAAGAAAATCAATGATTTTTGGACAGTGGAACAACACACACTATTTTGAAGGATATAAAATATTTTTTAAAATTGAGAATACAATGTTTCAAGCAAATGTCAACATCATTTATGGGTAAACCAACCTAATAGTAGGTTTTGGGAAAGCTTGTATGATGCTCTCAAAAAGAACAAAGTTAAAAATTAATGATCCTCTATATTGGAGTAAATCTCACAGAAAATATATAAGTTTTAAAGATATGCTTCAAAATTGCTTTCAATTAAAAACAATGACAATGGATCAAAAAGAATATTTATGCCTCACATAAAAAAAATGGCATGAAACATATATATGAGAAATTGCGAGAGTATTCTAATCTTCCGGGTTATATTGTATAGATATACGACTAGTTGAAATAAATTTGATAGCCAGAAGTTAGATGATAAGAATTTGCTTACTTTATGACATTTCATTTGGGTCATCCTGGTACAGGAATGATACACAAGATTATAGCAATTTCAGTAGGACATTCATGTAGGAATGTCAAAATCCCTTGATCAGATGAATTAAAATGTTCTACATGCTCACTTGGCAATTTAATAACAATGCCATCTATGAACAAAATTGTTACTAAATCTCTAATATTTTTAGAAAGAAATCAGGGAGATATTTGTGGGCCAATTTATTCTTATTCATGTGGACCATCCATTTTGATATTTTATGGTATTGATTGATGCTTCAACACGATGGTCACATGTAAGTCTCTTATCACGTAAAAATATTGCTTTTGTAAAACTACTTATTTCGGGGTTTATTTGGAATCCCTCGGGATACAGGTCTTGAATATGTCCAGACGGCCACAGACACCTGCAAAACAATGAATATTCAGGTATCAGAATATTCGCTTCCAAGGTCAAGTTAGTATCCAGAATACGAAGGATTTTAGTGAGAGAAAGTAGAGAGAAGTTAGAGCAATTTAATATGCCTTGAATGATTTGTCTCAATCCACCCCTCCCATCATTAATTATTGGGGCATTTATAGAGGTTGGAAAGTGTGCATTTTAGGGTTTGGTGCCCTAAAATGGGGAGCACTGATTGGCGGCGCAATTAGGTGAGGACACGTGTCCTTGGGGGTGTCGTTTTGGTGCTTTTCTCGAGAATTGAGCCTCTTGATATAAGGAGGCCTTCTCTCTTATTCAGGTGCTCTTGTGCTTCCACGTGTCATCTTCCCATTAGGACTCGTGTTTCCCTTTTATTGGGCCACGTGTTACTACAGGATTGGACCACGTGATGGGGTATTATTACCCTAAATACTACTTGCTCAAATTATTAAATTAAGTGCACAATTTCCAGATCATACATTAAAAAGAATAAGACTTGACAATGCAGGGGAATTTACATCCCAAATAGCCAATGATTATTGTATGTCAATTGAAATTGTTGTACAACATTCAGTAGCTTGTGTTCATACAGAAAATGGCTTCGTTGAGTCATTAATCAAGGGAATACAATTGATTATATGGCCATTATTAATGAGATCAAAATTGCCTCCATCTGCTTGGGGTTATGCCATAATACACGCAGCAACGCTAATTAGATTGAATTGACAACTTATCATAAGTTCTCACCACTGCAATTAGATTTTGGTCGAGAACCAAATGTCTCACATCTAAAGATCTTTGGTTGTGCGACGTATGTTCCAATTGCACCACCCAACGAATAAGGATGGATACACAAAGAAGGCTAGGAACTTATGTTGGGTTTGAATCCCTCTCCATACGGCCGGGAGACGACATGGGTTTGTTGTACCCGTGCTTCATAGATTCTAGGAATGATTTTGGGGATTACTTTAGCATCTTAGTTTTTAAAATAAGTGTTTTTTGCATTTTGTTTGTTTTTAGCTTATAATAATGGTAGGGGTGTGCAAAAAAAAAAAAAAAAAAAAAGGTTACGGGTAATTGGTATAACCGAAATATAAACGGTTATGATTAACCGAACTGGTAAAAATATCGGTTAAAGGATATAGTCACAGTTACAGTTTTGAGTATCATTAAAACAAATTATATCTATATGTTTTTTATTGTAAATGTTAACCCAACAACCAATTATGGCTTTTCGGTTTATAATCGACTAATTGGAACATGAATTATAATGTTTATTTTTAATTTTGTACAGAGTATTAGAGTAAGATAAGTAGTAGAGTATTGAAGTAAAATATATTTATGGAAACCGGTTAACTTGTAACTGTATCGTTAATAAGTGGTTAATCATTTCTTAGCAGTATAATTACGATTACTGTTTCTTAACCTAATGTGAATACTCTAAAAAATGGTTTTTCCGCCTCAGAGAAACTTATCTCCCTCGAAAGAAAAAGGGTTATTCTCTTTCGAAAGATAAGATTTTTTTTATCTCCTTCGAAGACAAGGTTTCTCGACCTAGTGTTCTCTGCGCTTGGAATATTCTCAAGTTACACGGGGCTACGATTGTTGTTGATTGCTCGGATTCAGGTTACGAAGTTATCACAAGAATCTTATTTTTTCTTCCAAAAATTATGAAACGACGACGGATCCGCTCATAAAATTGTATGAGATAATGAATTGAGAATGTGCCGAATTTTAAGTCCTTCTATGCTTAATTATTGTTCTTTTTTCTCATTAATTGTCAATTATAAATGTCGTACGACTTTAATCAATGAAAATAAGTGTCTTTTGAGATTTCCTTAAAAAAAAAAAAAAAAAAAAAAATCTTTAACTCTTTGGATAGAAATTTTGTCACATTTTAGGTTAGTCGTCCCTCGGAAGTGTGAATACTTATTATTCAAAACTATGCTTAGTGCTTTTTTAATGCCTTTAACATATCTTAAAATATAAAAAAGGTTACGCAGGGCGGCAGGGGTCTCCTTTTGTCCAGCCAAGATCTTCAGGTAGTCAAACTAGCATCCAATCTATGGAAGATTAGGTAATAATTTGTGCTATCTAAGTCAAAAATCACAAATATAATATGCTAACACACTTTTACAGGCAAGTAATCACAGCTTAACGCGGTCGAAAAGATAAGCTAAACCAAATTAGTGTTTGATTAGGTACATTGTTAGACCCTATCACATGACCACCTTTTCAAGTCTTATTCACAACAATAAAATCATACAAATATAGAATCCCTTTGAGAAACATTTTATACTTAATTTAGTGACTGAAGTTGCAGTATGAACAAAATGCCTCTACTGTACTGATAAACTTCAGTCATTTTAGTGTAAATCTGTATATCATATACTAGTATATGACTTGTTATTCAACCATGAATGTTGTAAACATATTACTAATTGTCTTTTCTGTTTTCTATCTACTTATTCTTTCATGTTATGGAGCTGACACTATCACTGGAAACGGGTATGTAACTGGGGACCAAACGATTGTTTCTGCGACAGGGCTGTTCGAGCTAGGCTTCCACAAACCAGGTAACACTTCCAACTATTACATAGCCATATGGTATAAGAAAATTCCTGGAAAGGCTGTAATTTGGGTTGCTAATAGAGATAAGCCGGTTTCTGACAAGTATACATCGAATCTAAGAATCTTGAATGATGGTAATATTGTTCTTGTTACTAAAGGGTTTAAGGAACCAATCTGGTCCACAAACTTGAAGTACAACAGCTCTAGACCTGTAGAGGCTGTCCTCCTAGATAATGGGAATCTCGTTATAAGGGACGGGTCTAATTCAAGTTCTCCTCTTTGGCAGAGTTTTGATCATCCAACTGATACACTTATGCCTGATGGTAAGTTAGGACTGAATAAACTTTCAAAGTCGAGTCAAGTTCTTACATCTTGGAAGAACTTGGAGGATCCTGGGAAAGGTCTTTTTACTGTAGAGCGCGATCCTAATGCTAATCAGTTTATTATGATGTGGAACAGAACTGAGCAATATTGGACTAGTGGCCTGTGGGATCCTGAACAGAGGATTTTTAGCTTAGTTCCGGAACTCAGGTTTCTGAAAACACAGCTGTATAGCTTCAGTTATGTTGATAATGAGAATGAGAGTTACATAACTTATTCTGTTCATAACCCTTCCATTGTAACAAGGTTAGTCATGGATGTTTCAGGGCAGCTTAAGCAGCTTACATGGCTGGAAAATTCCCAGCAATGGGTTTTGTTTTGGTCACAGCCTGGACAGCAGTGTGAAGTATATTCGTATTGTGGTACTTTCGCTATTTGTAACCAATCATCTCTGCCATATTGTCATTGTTTGCAAGGTTTTGAGCCAATTTCAGCAACGGAGTGGAATTTAAATGATTACTCTGGTGGGTGTGCTCGGAAGACAAAATTATCATGTGATGGTGGCCAAAATGGAGACAAGTTCTTGGTAAGTCCTAATAAAGTATTACCGGAACATCCACATTCTGTCTCAGCTTCTAATGTCACAGAATGTGAATCAATTTGTGTAAGAAATTGCTCTTGTACTGCTTATGCATTCGATGATAATGGTTGTTTCATTTGGTTTATAGACCTCTTGAACATGAGACAACTATCTTACAATAGTGGTAAAAATCTTCATATTAGGCTTGCAGCCTCAGATGTAGATGTCCAAACAAGCAGGAGTAAGAAAATAGTTATTGATATTTTAGTAGGCTTAGGTATGGGGTTGGTAGCACTATTTGGCCTGGTTTATGCTGTTTATTGGAGACAGAGACAGCGCTTGATCATAGCTACAAAAAATATGCAGCACTCATTGGCACGATTTGCGTATAGAGATCTGCAATCTGCCACCAAGAATTTCTCTCAGAAACTCGGAAGTGGAGGCTTTGGATCTGTGTTTAAAGGAATTTTGCCAGACTCAACAGTTGTAGCTGCAAAGAAACTTGAAAGTGTCAATCATACTCAAGGGGAGAAGCAATTTAGAGCAGAAGTAAGTGCAATTGGGACGATACAACATGTTAATCTTGTTCGTCTTTGTGGGTTTTGCTCAGAAGGCTCTCAGAGGTTATTGGTTTACGAATATATGCCAAATGGATCATTGAACACTCATCTTTTCAATAGAGAAATCTCGCAGATTCTGAGCTGGAGAGTGAGATATCAAATAGCTACCGGAACAGCAAGGGGATTGGCTTATCTACATGAAAAATGCAGGGATTGTATTATACACTGTGACATTAAGCCAGAAAATATTCTGTTGGATGCTGAGTTTTGTCCAAAAGTTGCAGATTTTGGGTTAGCAAAGCTAGTAGGAAGGGATTTTAGTCGTGTTCTGACGACAATCAGAGGTACAAGAGGCTACTTGGCGCCAGAATGGATCTTAGGAGATGCAATAACAGCAAAAGCTGATGTTTATAGCTATGGGATGATGCTCTTCGAGCTTATTTCAGGCAGAAGAAACATTCAACTAGCAAGTGAAGGGAGGTTTGATTTCTTCCCAACTTGGGCTATGGAAAAACTAACTGAAGGAGAAGATATTTTGAGCATTCTAGACCCGCAGTTAGAAGGAGATGCTGAAAAGGATGAAGTGTTGCGAATTTGCAAACTTGCAAGCTGGTGCATCCAAGATGAAGAGAGTGAGAGGCCATCAATGGGACAGGCTATACAGGTTCTCGAGGGATTTTTGGATGTCGATATGCCTAGAATCCCACGATCTCTCCGAATGTTTGGGAATAATGCAGAAAGTCCAATATTTCTCAGTGAGTTCTCATCAAGTCAGTATACAACTGAAACTACTGGCTTTGCATCAGCTACTTCTGATAGTCAGGACACCTCCTCATATATGACTGTTACCTCTCAAGTGTAGCTTCATTAGATTATCTATTGTATTGCTTTTTTAGCCATGATTTGTAATGCTTTCATATGAATTTTTGTCAATAAAGGTCTATTCTTCAATGTAACTAAATGATATTCCTCTAAGCTATCTTCCTACATAATATAACACCAATGCCAAACAGTTTCACTTAAAATGGCTCAGTTTTTTTTTTTTTTTTTTTTTGACATTATATTATCTCAAAGCACTTATTTTTTATAGTAACTAGTAAAAATAATAAGGATTCAGTAAAATTAATTTTTAATCAATAAAATGAGTAATTCTAAAAAAATATATGGTAGTGAATTTGTAAAAATAATGCAATTTCGATAAACATAATTTAAATTTAACAAAAATAATTTAATTTCAATTAAAAAAATTTTAAGTTTAGTAAAAATAATTCCAGTGGAAAAAAAGGTATAGTGAACAAGATCTAAGCCGATACTTGGGATGACAAGACTAGTATATATAAGACTTGACGTAATATAGACAGTAACCACACTAAATCCATTTACAACCTTAATCGTGGCAATCGGTATAGATGATTTGACCCGATTCACTAGCCAAATGAACAAGATTCAACTCAACCCCCAATTCTACATCTTACCCGATTAACCCAACTCATTTAAGACCCAGCCCCAAATGAACTTGAATCTTCTTCAACTCGACTAAACCCGTATTCTGTATTCAACCCAAATCGTTTTACCAAGGCAAATATAACTTGACCACTTACAACGCTACTTGATTATGACTCAACCTGTTTAGAAAATAACACAGAAAAACTAATCGAATTCACCCACTAATTTTCAAATCTGGCCCAATTAACCTGTCATCAAAATAAACTCGTGTCTAATCATCCATATTGACCGGTCAACACGCTATTTGATTAATCCAATCCAAAGTTAAACTATCAACTAGAATTGAAAGTGATGTGCCAAATTTACACCATCAACTAGAATTGAAAGTGATGTAACACATGTTAAAAAATGCTCTAGGTTGTGCCTCGTGCCGGGCCCACGTGCTTCGGCCCACGAGTTTCATGTCATACTGTGTCGGGCTGAAATTTTCAAAAGATTGGCCCGTGCACAGCCTAGGCCCTCGTGTCATTGTGTCGGGCTTGCGTGTCTAAGCAAAATTGTATTGATTTTAGCATGCTTTGTTATGTTGGGCCTTATCGTGCTTCTCCTAAATAAAGGCGGCCCGAGCCTGGCGACGACCCACACACACAGTTATTAATACCTACACCCTAATGTAGGTATTAACTAGATTAGTACCCACGTGTTGCACCGTGGTGATAAACAATTTTTTCATATTTCTTTTATATCTTTTCTTGTTGATAACTTTTTAACATGACTTAACTTGCTTTTTATTTTGTAAAAATAAAGTTTGTTACTCTATAAATATTAAAAAAAAAAAAACATGAACATCATCTTTTTTTGTTTTTAATGATTATAATTTAATGCTACATCATAATATTTACTATGTTATTGATAATATACTAAAATGATGGTTAGAAAAAATATACTTCATATAAAATATTGCATTATCAAATGAGCTTATACATTTAGAGTGGAAGCACAACAATATTGACGTCAAAGTCAAGTTCGGATTTTTAGTTTCATACCTACTTGGTTCCAGTTTCTAGCAAATAAAATGAAAAGGCAAAAATGATGACATCATATGTAAATTTGGAGGAAAAAGTTTTAATGAGAGCTTGACACGTAAGACATTTTAGGAATTGATGATATCAGCATATTTTGTTTTAGTAATAGTTAATATACCTACACTCCCCCCTCCCCCGCGCACGTGTACTATACAAAAGTCTTGAACAATAAAAAGCAATTTCTCATATTTTCTCTCTCCTCTTAAAATTTCTCTCTCTTCATAATTTTACCACTTTCTCTTTCCATTTTCTCTCTCCTCATAATTTTACCACTTTCTCTTTTCAATTTCTCTCTCCTAAACTACCAAAGTTTTTCCAAATTTTTCTTGAAAATTAAATCAAAATGCTCTTAGATCTTTACTTAAAATATTAGATTTAAGAGACAAAATCAAGAAATCGAGGGAAATTTCTACAACGACTAATAATTAAATTGTAAGTTGATAATTTTGTTTATTTTTCGAAAAAAAGTTTAAAACCTAACTTTTTATTTGTCTTTATTCTTCAATAATATGCAATTTTAGTAATAGCAGTTTATGATTTATAATAATTTTTATCATAATTATGATTTCTTATGATTAGTAAAATGATGTTTGGTATACTTTATTTAAGTTGATTTAACTTGTGGTGTGTGATATTAGCTTATAAATTGAAAATTCTGGACAAAAATAATTAAAAATAGAGTTCAATTACCCTAATATAATGGACAATTTGATCTATTTCGTAGGATTATAGAAATGCAAATTTAGTTCGTAGCATAAATTTTTTTGTATGAATGTTCATTTTCATTTTGGTAAATGTTCATTTATATATTAGTATATGATCATTCACATGTTAATAAATAATCATTAGAATTCTTAACAAATCTAATAAGAAGTTTCAATTAGAATTTGTAATTTCTCATAGTTTTTAATGGAAGTGATTTTTATACTAATAATTGAGTTATGTTATTAGAATTTTCCATAATTATAACATAATTTAATTAAAACTATTATTCGGCGAATTTTGACTAGTACATTTAATCTATCGTAAATGTTCATTGAGAAGTTATTGTGTGCGGATGCTCGCACGCAAATTTCCGTGCAGCTGGCTTGGCTGATATGTTTTATTTGTTGGCTTATATGTTTCATGTGTTAGTTGATATGTTTCATTTGTTGGCTAATATGATTTTTTTTTTTGTGTATATATATATATATATATATATATATTTAATTTTTAATAGGTTCCTTTTGTTGGCTGATATCAGACATCTTTTGGCTTATATGTTTCTTTAATTGGCTGAATTTTGTTGGCTGATATGTATATTTTAATTGTTGGCTCACTACTACAAATCCCTTAGTTTTTGGACGCTATTTGCTTGATGCTCGGTATCAAGCGTTAGCCAAAAAATTTATTTCCGTGTTTTTTCGACGCTTTTAAGCGTCACCATTGGATCTCGACACATAAAAGCGTCGAAAAAAAGACAAGTGATTTGCACGTGACACAGTTCATATCCCGGGACTTGAAAATTTCAGAAAAAAAAAAAAAAAAAAGCGGGCTAAATTAAACCAAAAAAAAAAAAAGAAAGAAAAAAAGAAAACCGCCATATACGTATACAGCAGACAGAAGAAATAAAATAAAATAACATAAAATAAAAACCCTTTAGCTCCCCAATCCCCATTATCGAAATAAACAGTACAACGATGGAATTGAACCCTAACTCTTCTTTGCTTGCTCATAATCGCTCTCATCTAATCTCTTAAACCACTTAAAATTGTTGAATTTTCGTTTCTCTCTTCAATATTATCTTTAATTTTCGGTAATCTCCTTGTTATAGGCATCAATTTCGTAGGTTTTGGTGGATATATCATTCACTCGAATTAAGTTGCTTAATCTGAATTTTTGTTTATTCATTGCATGTATGGGAATTCTTCATCAAACGACCGACGTAGAGAGGTGAAGAATTTATATCACAGGTCATGGTCTAATTAAATTTTTTTATATAATACTTTTTATTATTGATTGGTATTTGTTTTGGTTGATTATGTTTATTGAATTGTTGATTTTTTGTATTAATTTTGTCAAATTTTAATTTTATTTGGGGTTTCTGGGTTGAAACTTTTTTATAAGTTGTGATTCTTGAAAGGAGATTTGTACGTGTTGAGTAATAATGAACTGGTAATCCATAGGAGGTTACGAGATGAGAGAGATGGAGATGCTGGTTCAAATGGGTACCATCACCATTCACCATAGCTACTTTAGGGTGTTGTACTTCATTTTGCTTGCCTATTTTACTGCAATTTTGGTCTTCCATTTGGGGTCAAGTTTTGAGGTTGATTATAGCAAGAATTGTGATTTTATACTACTCATGATATACATAGAAAACTTTTATTAAATTATGGTTACTTGTCATACGCACAAAGAAAATTTTGTTTAATGTTATTTGGCAGCAACTTGATGCTCTCTCTTAGAAATTGTCAAAAAAAGAAAAAAAAAAAAAGAAAAACTTATTGTTGCCTTAATTCTTATCTCACTGATTTCGTCATGGCCCCTTGCAGTAAGTTGCATTTTATAATTGGATTCTATAACATTTTATATGCTGATATGTGTACAGAAAATAAATCTTAGTTGAGTTCTATTACTCTGAAATAGGCAGATTGTTCATAAAGGAAAGCAGATTGAGAAAGGTCTTATGCTAGGTACAATTGTCCATGTACTTGTGAATTATTGCCAATTGTTGGCTACTTCTGTGAAGTGACTGGTTGCACTGTCGTAGTTAGGCTTATGATGCCGAGATTATTTTTGGCAATACAATATTAGTAGGACTACCTCAAAGGTAGTCTTAGATTGTTGTCATTCTCAATTCTGCACTTTTCAATTTGTATCTGCAAGTTGTTACTTAAGGTGCTTTGTTGTTTACACTAGTGTGTGAAAATCTATACAACTTGTGACTAATGGGTGGTTTTAGTGGTTGTATGCCTATCTTGTGCCATGTATGTGCCGTCAATGATGCTATCCATAATCCATTGTTTGCCAGTGATTCGGAGTCATGTGTCTATATGCTAGATAAACCAAAATCTAGTCATTCATTATTAACATCGATTATGTTCCATCGAATTTCTTAGTCCATTCAAGGCTTGCAGGCTCCAACTGTTCCTAATCAGAAAGCTTGTAGGCTTATCTATATACTTGTATTACTTTCAGTTTAGTTTTAATAGAATCAAGTAAACTTAACGTTGCTTAGAGTTTTTTATCATTCTTCAGTGATTCCAGGCCAAGAATCATAGCTACAAACCATTTAAGACGTTAGATTATTATACATAACTCTTTATTATCTATTAGTAAAGTAATGATTCCAGGTTTTTTTAACCGTATTTTTTATAAGGATTTCTATTCATATTGCATCCAAACTTATTATAGCTTATTATATTATGAATAGTTTGATAGGTTTTCATTTACTACATAGGTTGTATTAAATCGTACAAGTTTGACTTATGTAAAAAATATATAGCCAATAGGCTAATATTTATGACATATCTTAAAATTTGAAGTTGTGTTTTTGTGTTTAATAGGTGACAGAGGAGGAGCTTATCTAGAAATTGTTCTAATTGTGATAGTTGCTGCACTTAGCGAGTTGGCCGAGGTAACTACCCAAATTCCTAAATTATCTTATATGTCATATAATTGTATAATTATATTTTCGTGTCATATGTATGGTAGATAGCCCTCCCAAAATAGTTTTAGCTCAATTTATGATATTGATCATATATGAAAAATGTAAGTAATTAAGTTGTAGATTTGTAGTGAGGTAGTATATTATATATAATTCATTATGTCTTATCTATGTGCTTATTAATTATATTAAATTAATACGTGTATGTATCTATTTTTTTGTGAATGCTTCCATGTATTATTATGTTTAATCACTTTGTTTGCATTTTGTCTCCAACCACAATGATAACATCATATAAAAGCTATAGAAGGGGAAACCTTGGTAAAGTATTTACTAACAGTGCTAAAAATAACCTAAGTGATGGAATATGTTGTTACACTCTTCTTAATTATAACATTTATAATATTTATTACCAAATTATTGTCAGCTTATTATTGATACTTATTAATAATTATTAAATATTATATTTTATTATGAATTTCATTGTAGATATGGATACTAGTTGGATTGATTACCAAAAGGAAAATCTGCCTATTATGAGGGTTGCATGAAATTCTTAGAGATTGCTAAGGAGACTCTTATTGATGGAAAAACCAAATGCCCATGTAATAAGTGCAAGTTAAATAAATGGCATATTTTAGAAGAAGTAGGAGGCCATATTTTATTTAACGGTTTTTATAAGAATTATAGAAAATGGATTTTCCATTGTGAGGGTGAAGGGAGTAAAACCTTAAAGCCCCCTAGTGATCATGTGAAGGAAGTAGATCGAGATGATATGGATGGGCTACTAAGAGCGGCTTTCGGGGTTCACATTCCACAATCCACTAATGAATTCCAAGCCCCATCATCCAATGAAATGAATTTTGATGAGGAAGGTTCATATGACATGCATGAAGAGTTTGATTTTCATTGTGAGGTAGATGATGAAATGCCTTCAACTAACACTAATGAAGAAATGGAAAAGTATAAACGTCTCATGGAAGCTTCTAACGAGTGTCTATATGAGGGTTGTACTACTTTCTCAAAGTTATCATTTCTCTTACATCTGTTTCACCTTAAGTGTATGTTTCATTGGTCTGCTAAGTCATTTAATAAATTGATTGAACTTCTAAATGACGCATTCCCTCATATTCAGGAGTTTCCATCATCTTACTATGAAGGGATGAAAATAATCAAAGACTTGGGATTAGGATATGAAAAAATCCATGCATGTCCAAATGATTGCATGTTATATTGGGGGGAATTTGCTGATGAAATTAAGTGTCATATTTGTCATACATCAAGGTGGAAAACTATGAAAGGGAAGGAGGGTGACAAAATTGAGAAAGGGAATGAATCAGTTAAGAAAGGTGAGCCAGCTAAAGTTATGCGATATTTTCCTCTCATACCTAGACTAAAGAGGCTTTACATGTCTTCTAAAACAGCAGAGGATATGAGATGGCATTTTAACCGGGAGGATGATAAGATCCTAAGGCACCCTGCAGATGGTGTTGCTTGGAAAAAATTTGATGAAAAATATAAGGAATTTTCTGCCGACCCTCGCAGTGTTAGATTGGGATTAGCTAGTGATGGTTTTAATCTATATCGTCTAATGAATACCAATTACAATACATGGCCAGTGGTTTTGATTCCTTACAATCTTCCACCATGGATCTGCATGAAGTCAGCATCTTTCATTTTGTCCTTGATTATTCCCGGTAAATATGGTCCTGGTATTGATATTGATGTATACTTGCAACCATTAATACATGACTTGAAATTGTTGTGGAAAGGTGTAAATGCTTTTGATGCTTACACTGGAAAATATTTTAACATGCGAGCGGCCTTACACTCCACAATAAATGACTTCCCAGCATGTGCTATGTTGTCGGGATGGAGTACCAAAGGTTATAAAGCTTGCCCTTCTTGTGCTGATTCCACTTATTCATATAGATTTGGTGGTAAAATTGTCTTCCCTGGACATCGAAAATGGTTACCAATTGATCATCCTTATCGTTCTGAAACTCAATTATTTGATGGGAAAGAAGAGTACGGTTTTGCTCCAATCCCTTTAAGTGGGACCGATGTTTTGAAGCAGCTAGAAAAGGTTAAGTATGTTTACGGAACTTTGAAAAAAGCTTCTAACAAAAGGAAAAATAGAGGAACAACAGATATTGATGATGATTATCAAGCTGATGTCGATGATGTTATATGGCGTAAGCAAAGTGCATTTTTTGAATTGGAATATTGGGAACATAATCTTCTTAGACATAGTTTAGATGTAATGCACATTGAGAAGAATGTGTGTGATAATCTATTAGGAACTCTATTAGATATGGATAAAAGTAGAGATGATCCAGAAGCTAGAAAGGCTCTTGAGAAGAAAAACATTAAACCTCATCTTTGGCTTCAATCTCATCCTAATCGGGCTAAAAAATATATGCCTCCAGCTGCATACACCATGTCTAATGAAGAGAAGGAACGATTTCTAAGAGTGTTAAAAAAACTTAAAGTTCCTGATGGATATGGGTCTAATTTACAAAGATGTGTCAATTTGAAGCAGCAAAAACTTATTAATTTGAAAAGCCATGACAACCATATCCTTATGCAAGATATCCTTCCAGTTGCTTTTTAAGAGCATCAAATGCCACAAAAGTTATTGACTTGCTTGAGGAGTTGTCGTACTTTTTCAAGAAGATATGTTCACCCGCTATTGACATTGAAGAACTAGATTCCATTCAAAAAAAGCTTGTGTTAACTCTTTGTAGAATGGAGATAGAGTTTCTACCGACATTTTTCACCATCATGGTTCATTTGCTCATTTAGGAGTCCAAGCTAGCTACTTACTGCTAGTTTAGATTTAACAAGAGGTCTAATTTAGCCTTTTCGACATTTTGGCGAAACCTCGAGCAACCTTGCAAACTGTGACATTTGAACTTGTCTTTTGCTTAGAAGTTCAATTATGGGGATGGAAATTTGTAAGTTAAATATGAAAACAAGTTGGAACACCATGGCATGAACAATTTCAAGAAAACTCTCACATTCACAACAAGAGTTAGAGAAGATTAATGAAGTAAATATATATTCATTTTTTTGAGAAGTTTGTGTTAATACTCGTGTTTGTTATTAGTGTTCATGCTCCAATTTTTTTCGTAGAAGGATATGGTCTTCCACTTTTCTCTACTCTATTCTCTTCTAAATTTCTAATTGTAGATATGGTCCCTTGCTTTTGTGCAGATGCTAATGGTAACGTTGTATACTTGAGTGGTTCTATTCAGCCTATTGATGTTTGGAGTAATAACGGTGTCAGATTCTATGTTGAATTTAATGAGCTGTACCAACCCATCCGAAAAGGTGGACATATTTTAATCCGATTCCTTGGTAACATTGCGAAGATAGAGACGTATTGTCCACTTGGAGAAGAGGATTGGCATGCTATTGATGAGCATTTTAAAAAGAAGATAATTAATGAGATGAGAGTATGTATCTCCTTTTTTCTATTACTTTTCATAAGAAACTACTTTTTCATTCATGAATTTATTTATTTTTACTAACCTATAAATACTCTTACTAAAGTTACTTGTTTTTCTTGTATAAGGATCGCTTGTGTGATTCCCATAGGTGAACTATATAACAAAGCAGCCCTCAAGCGTGTTAATAAAAGTTGGAGGCAATATAAGTTTAATCTTAAGAAGGATTACTACAAACCAACAGAGAAAACTTTAGAAGGGATGTGTAGCGCTACACCACCGCATGGGATTAGTAGTCAAAATTGGATAAAGCTACTTAAGTATTGGGATTCGGAGAAAGGGAAAGTAAGTATCAGACATCTTGCTTTCTAATTAGAATTAATTTTGGTCTTAATGTAAATTACATAATTTTGTATATGACTTTGAATGTGAGTGCAGTCACTATCAACATGTGGTAAAGCAGCACGGGCCTCCCTAAATCAATTACATAGATGCGGTTCTAACAGTTTTGCGAACAAACAAGCTGACCATGTATGAACCATTCTTATAAATGACCATCATACGTTACAAACATACCTTTTTAACTAATTTATTATGCAACTTATCTTGTTCATATTTTCATTTATGTTTCTTACATTAAATATATATATAGGAAGATGAGCATGGAGAAAAGATGAGCTTATTAGCTCTCTGGATAAAAGCTCATACAGGCAAGGATGGAAGTTTTCTTCCGGGCACAGTGATCGAAGATTTTGTGGTAAAAGATCTAAATGTGTTTTAAAGCTTGTCATTTTATGTGGAAATGAGTTCGATCTTTTACTATATTATTATTTAACGTTTTTTATAGGATGATGCGAAAGCTAAAGTTGAACAGTTGAGGTTGATAAACCCTACTAAGTCCCAACAGGAACTTGAAGATGAAGCCTTTGAGCTGACCATGCATGGTGAAGAGATCCCTGATCGTCCTACAGGTTACGGACTTGGGGTTTGAAAGAGCGACATTTACGGGGTGCATGCTTTGCTAAGGAAGGACGGTTCTAGAAAAATTAAACAAAGGACTGTGGTAATGGATAGTAATGTGAAGGAAGAAATGTCTGCTTTGCACAAAAAAAATGAAGTACTTGAGAAGGAAAATGAAAAGCTAAAAGACCAAGTACAAGAGAATAATATTCTTCTTAAAACCCTTATCGGACAGTTTTCTCAAATTGTTGGTGGAGTTAATGATGGAAAGGGTTCAACAGAACTTCTTAACTGTGCCAAATCAGTCTTAGGAGTGACAAACCATCAGGTAATTTTTCTATCTATACTTATAAAATTTAAGAACAACAATCATTTTCATATATTAAAGCTGTCAACCATCAGGTAATTTTTTTTTTTTTTTTTTTTTTTATTTTTTTTTTTTTTGAAGGTTATGAATGCAACAGGAGAACAAGGAAAAACTACAAAAGATGGAAATTAGCCTACTATGCACCTTCATTTGTTTATAGTTAGTTAGTAGTTAACTTATGTAGGCTTCAATCTAACTTTTAATTTAGTTGGCGATTGATATAAGTAATAATAATGATGATATTTTGGACATGATATATATATATATATATATATATATATATATATATATATATATATATACTTGTTTTATGATTGCTACTTCTCTGGGATGATGCTGCTGAACTTGCTCTGCTTGCTTGCTTTTTATGCTTTGAGCTTCTGGTTGCTTGGTTTGCTTTTGGTGAATGCTTTAGGTGCTGGCTGATGGTTTTGTTAGCAGGCTTACTGGTTTTGATGCTGCCTGTGCTTTGGGGCTGCTGTTTTTTTGTTTTGTTGATGCTGCCTGTGCAGGCTGCTGGTTTTGTTGAGCTGAGGTTGCATGTACTCAATTGTTTTGTGTTAGCAGGATGTTGGTTTTGTTGATGCTGCCTGCTCAATTGCTGAGGTTGTTTTTTTTTTTTTTTTTTTTTTTTTTTTTTGTTGATGCTGCCTGTGTTGGTGTTAGCAGGCTGCATGCTGGTTTTGTTAAGGTTGATGTGCTCAGTTGTTTTGTGTTAGCAGGAGCTGGTTTTGTTGATGTTGCCTACTCAGTTGCTTTGGGGCTGCTGTTTTTTTTTTTTTTGGTTTTGTTGATGCTCCTGTGCTCAGTTGCTTTGTGTTACTAGGCTGTTGGTTTTGGTCTATTCTGGGGCTACTCCTCCTTGCTTTTGCTATACATATACCTTGTTTCTGTAGCTGGTTTTGTTGATGTTGCCTACTCCTCCTACTCAGTTCCACCTTTTTTTTATCTGATTTTGGTTTTGGTGTTTTGTTATTTTGGTTTATTATTGTGTTTGTGACTGTTTTTAAGCCTAATTATTGTTTTTTATCTGGGTTTTTATTTTGGTTTTTTGTTTTATTTCGCTGGTTTGTTTTAGGACAATTTCAATTTTGCTACCACTAAAAGGCATGCACCTCAGTTTTGCTACCTCTCCAATTTCCCCCTCCCTTTCCTCCACCTTTGCAGCCCACCACCCTCAACTGCCCAGCCACCCTCCCCCCTGCCGGCGACCGGCGCCCAACGCTTTGGCCGGCGCCGGCGACCCCACCCCAATCCCTTTCCCCACCAACGCAACCCACCCCCCCTCCCTTATCCCTTTCTCGCTGCCCCAACACCCACCCAAAACTGGAAAACACCCTCCCTCCCCACCCCCCCCCCACCGGAATCGGCCCCTCTCCCCTTCCCCCATCCTGAATCGACCCCACCTCTCCTTCCCCCACCAAAAAACCGGCACCCCTAACCCATAAACACCACCCCTAAACCACCATAAGCGAAACCCTAAAACCCATTTGGTTTCGGGCTGGTGTTTATGGGTTAGAGATGCGGTTTTTAGGTGAGGTTTCGGGCTGGAGAAGGAGAGGTGGTGGGATTTTGCGACTGAGGAAGGGGTGGGCTTTTGGCGATGGCTAGGTAGGGAGGTGGTTTCGGTGGTGGAGCTAGGGGGAGGGAGGGTGGACGAAATCGGGGAGGAAAAGGGATGGGGTGGTCGAAAACGGGGTGGGGAATGGAGGGGATGGCAGGAAACGGGGTGGGGAATGGAGGGGATGGCCGGAATCGGGAAGGGAAGGGAGTTGGTGGCCGGAATGGGGTAGGGGGAGGGTGGTAGGGGCTGCCGGAAATCTGGGTTATTATTTTTTTTTTAATTTAATTTAATTTACTTTTTTTTTTATTATTAAACTAACATAATCCTAACCCATTCCGTTAAGTGGTAGCAATTTTTAACAACTGTGATTTAGGTGGTAGTATAATAAAAAAAAAATTGGAGGGGTAGCAAAACTGAGGTGCCTGCCTTTTGGTGGTAGCAAAATTGAAATTGTCCTTTGTTTTATTTTGGTTTGGTGATCTTGAGTGTTAAACCGTTTGGCTCATTGTGTTTGTGATTTTTTGCTGCTGTGCATTTCTCTTGGTAATACAATATTATTTACCATATATATATATAATAATTAAAAAAAAAAATCTAGACGCTTTTTGTTGTCAACATATTTTTCTTTAATTAGTTTTAAAATTTCCCGCCACTATTTTGTGTGGACATTAAAAAGCGTCTCAATTTATTTTGCTATTGAAAACAACGTCGAAAATATAGACGGGAAAAAGCGTCTAGAAATTTGATGGTGGCGCTAGAATACCGAAATTCTCGATGGTTAGTATATTTTATTAGACATTAATAAGCATCGATATTTAAGACACTTAAAAGCGTCTAAAAATATTGGGACATAAAATGGCGTCGAGATTTGTGACACGAAAAAGCGTCGCGAATTTCTCGACTCACTTTTTCTCGACGCTTTTATAAAGCGTCGAGAAAAAAATTAGCGACGCTTTTCCGTGTCGTAAATAATGGAAAAAAGCGTCTCAAAAGGACGGGATTTGTAGTAGTGGCTGATATGTTTATTTTGTTGGCTTACTTGTTGCTTTTGTTTGCTGATTTCATCCTTTTGTTGGCTGATATGCTTCATTTGTTGGCTAATATGTTCCTTCTGTTGGCTGATAAGTACCTTTTGTTGGCTGATATATTCCTCTTGTTGGATAATATGTATCTTTTGTTGGCTGATATATTCCTTTTATTAGCTGATATCTTTTTATTGATGTCTAATATGTCCATAGTAATGTCTGATATCAAACATCAATTGACTAATATGTTACTTTTATTGGCTGATATACAAAGTATATAAAAATTACAAAGTTTTTTTATTTCTTCTCTCTCCTCTTTCCTCCTCTTCTTCTTCCTCTCTTGCTTTCTCTCTCCTGTTAGTAGGTCCTCACCGACAACCTCACGCCACCCCTCACTCCCTCTCCTTCTCCTTCGTTCCCCACTTCCCTTTCCTCCTCGACAAATTAATCTGGCCACCGAGCTTCTCCTTGCCGTTTGTGTCGCCGCCGTTCACTGAACCCATCGCACACACCACAAATCGCAGCCCACCGCCACAACTCGCGCCACCACCATAAATCGCAACCCACACTACCACAAACCGCAGCCCACCACAAATCGCAGCACACTACTCTCTGTTAACTGAAGAAGTGAAGATTGAAGAACCCTAAAAATTCGATTAGTTCTAGATTCTTCATGCCCTTTGTTCAATCGATTAAGATGAGGTATGATAATCTTGAATCTGAGTTTTTGTTGATTCGATCTTTGATCGACGATTACTCCTTCGTTGCAATGGATACGGAGTTTCCCGGCAATTGCAACCTCCACCTCTGCCGCTGCCGCTCCCAATACCTCCTAGCCTTTATGTTCATTTGTAGAAGGACTAATATTCGAATTATAATTGTAACAAAAAAATATTCAAATTATAGTAACTAAAATTAAAACCAAATTATCAATTTGATTTATGAAATTGAACCATCAATTATCATTTAATATTACTTATTTTGTCACTAAAAATTGTCCATAGCCACTGTTCAGGGGCTGCTCGTGAGTCTCTTCCAGGCTCCCCCTCTTTCCTTTACTATGCTAGTTTATGTTTTAGTTTAAGTATTGCCTTTTCTGTTTTCATCTTTTATGCCTATTCGTTTTGGGGTTGGGTTCAAGATTGGCAATGTTCAGCATCATCGCAATCATGGAACCTTATTTTGGCAACAAACTTGGTATTACCTAGATGTTTTTAATCATCTAGTGTTTATGTAATATATTTCTCTTTCTTGTTAAAAAAACATGTTTATTTTCATATTAATTATGTTCTTAAATTTGATACATGTTCGTTCTCTTTGCATTACATGCCCATTCTCATATTGAAAGATGGTCATTTGCAATCTAATACATTTATTTTTATATCTAAACATATTCATTTAGTTTTACACTTGTTCATTTTCATATTAAAAGATTTTTGTTTCAATTTTTAATATTTGTTTGTTATTATATTAAAAATTGTTCAATTAAAATTTTATATTTGTTCATTCTCGTATTGAAGATGTTCATTTAACTATTGATATATGTTCATTTTAATGTCGAAAGATGTTAATGTATATTTTAATACTTGTTCATTTTCATATTGAACTATGTTCATTTTCTGGCAACGTGTTCAAATTTGTTTTTATAAATCTTTTTAATTATCCTGATTTGTTTATAGTGCATTTTGATTGTTACTAACATTTTCCTTTAAGATATTTTGATCTCTTATTACACAGGACAATGAAATAAAAAAAAAGTTGAAAACAATTATATATATATTGAGAAAAAGATATGTATAAAGGAAAACGCACAAACATCATAAGAGTACAAGGGGTATAACCGTATGACAAGGACGGTGATTCTATATACTTTTTATTTATACCAAATTAAATGTATTAAATTAAAAGACAATATTCATTGTGTAAGGCACATATATATATATGATATGTATATTTTTGAAGTTTAAGTTTTGCACGTTTTTTTTAATTGTTTTTAATAAATTAAGCATGTGTACATTAGAAAATTTAAAAGAGTTACCTCTTATGTTTAAGAAACAACGAGTATATATTTATTTGAAATGATAGTATAATTGTAATTGAATTAATTTTATTTTGCATTAAAAGATTTTCAAACAAAGCCTATTAATTTAACCAAATAATAAGACAAATTAATAAGAAAACTGTCTAAAAATAAAAATGGAAAAAAAATACGTACTAATTTGAATATAACACATCGTAGTAACAGGATTGAACATTTAATGATACAAAATTGAACAACTATACTATATATTAAAAGCCATTCCTAATCAAGAATACACGCCACGTGTCACCCCTCTCTTCCACTAAGAGAATGTCACATCACCCAATTAAAAATATGAACGCTACATGTCAATTAAAAAATGTTTTTGTTAAGAGAATCGAACTTGGGTCCATTGAGAAACAAATAAAAATAAAGTCCTACCATCTTTACTATCTAATAATTTTGTAGACCACGAGAGTTAAAAAAAGTTCTCCATAAGGTTTAAACATGCAACCTCTAATTTTAGAACTGAAGTTCTTACCACCAAGCTATGTGATATTTTATATTATATTTTGATACAAAAAATTAATATGTATAACAACTTTAATTACAAGAAAAAATATAATGACGGAAGGGTATCGCCCGGGCCCAAATACTAGTTTATATATATAAAAATGAGCATTTTATATGTGACTCAAAATCCGAAAAATTATATGATAACATCATTGTAATGAAAGGGCGTGTAGACAGAGCTACCTACATAATGGTGTAGGTAAAAATTTGTACACATAACGTATCATACCGGGCCCATGCCCGTCCGTGCCATGCTTTTTTTGTGCTGGGCCAAGACGGGCCTTGGGCCGGCCTGGCCCAGTGCCATCTTTACCGCAACTCCGCAAGTTAGTCTGTAAGCCTGGTCGCCTGTTTAGCTGTTGCACGACGCTTCCACAATAATTAGCTGGAGAATGAGATTAAATTCCAACTTTTACCATTACCTTTCCAGAGTACTTCTCTCTTTCTTTAATACTTGTAATATTCTGAGCTATTCCAGGCTCATCCTTGACATTAAAGGTTCAGGTTTTCTCTACAACATAAATCTAATTATCAATTATGAGATACTTATTCATAATTTTTCTAATTAATTGCAGAGTTAGGGTTTTCACTATTCAGAATCAACGCAAAAGATATGGGAAGCTTAATCAGAAGTTTTTTCCAATCTTTGATGAAAATGTTTAATGCAATTGTCGGAATGGCTGGTATTGCTATGGTAATTTATAGTCTATGGATGATACGGGTTTGGCAGAAGCAAACGGGTCAATCTCCGTTCGATGATTCGGACTATCCAGTTCCATGGTTATTTCTCTCCTAATTCTTTTAAACATTCCTGAATTTTGTGGGATGAACATTAAAAATGCCCTGATGGAACATTTAATGTACGATATCGATATGTAGCTCTAGGTTTACCCGGGTACATAATAGATGCTGGCTCCCTATATTTCAAGCTGACATTTCCAGTATATTTTGGGTTTTTATTGCATAGTTTGATGATTAGCTGTTCTTTTGAACTTTTTGTATGCCAATTTCGAAAAGCTGAATGAAATGGGACAAAGTTGTATAATAACATAGACTTGAATTAGAATTTGGAAACATGGGTGTAGAATATGAAGTAGTGAAGTGTGGCAATGCTTTGAAAGAGACCAAAAGAATGCATATCAATTGATCTCTACTTGTTGATGATATTGTGTTAACGGGGATTAGCTAAAACATTGTTCACGTTATCTACCGGTTGATCTCTTTGTGTTCTATGATATTGGATTAACAAGGATTTACTAAAACATTGATCACACTATCTACTAGTGACTTAATGTGATTGTATGCTAATTTGTTATGCCTTTTTTGCATCGTGTTTTTATTTCGCAGTGTCAATCTTATGCCTTTTATTTATCGTACTTTTTGCAGGTTCATCTATACCTTTCTGGGACTTGGGGTTACCTTTTGTGTGATTACATGCTCTGGTCATATTGCTGCAGAGACTTTGAATGGGTGTTGCTTATATCTAGTATCCTTATATATATATATTGATTTAAATTTAATGAGTTTGAGCAGTGGATTTTCTAGCTTTCTCTTTCATTTTCCAGCTGAAATTACTCTGTAGTTTGCTTAAATGGTAATTTACTGTATTGAATATTTGCCTCTTAACAGTAATTGAGTTCTGAACTGAGAACTATATATTTGGAGTTTTCACATATATTTTCATAGAAAACCTAGGCTGTAACAGACTAATAACTAACAGACTACATAATTCATATAGGTAAAGATTTTTTTCGGATGACATTCATTTTTGGCAACATTAAGGGTTAATCATGGTAATATTTAGAATCCCATACCATCTACTCTGTAAGCTCTTTTACTGACTCTAAGTTCAATTGGGTCTTCTTTTAACTGAAATTGCTTAATCCTACTTTGACCACTTATTGTTGTCTTAAGAGCCTTATTAGTGTCAATGTTCTTCACTACAGAAGAACTTAACCTTTATGCAACAATTTTTTCTTTCTATTTTTTTTTTTTCCGTAGCTGCTTTGTCGTCTTTTATATCATTGATGTTTTGTGAATTAGCTATTCTTTCACTGAAATTGGGGTTATCTATTTCGTTTCTATTTAGCTAGGATCTTTTGCACTTTAGTTTATTAGCTGTAATTTCTTACTATTGATACTGAATAGTGATCTGGCTCTTTGTGATTACCAAATCATCGCATTGCTGATGTTTGTGCAAATTATGTAATGATGTATGTCATGTGTGGTGAAGTGAAATGTAGTGAAATTTCTTGCGCTATAGTTATCTATTGAAGCATTATTTTTTTTGTCAATGATATTGACTGTTTATAATATATAATACTACGTATTTTTTTTTCATGGTGAAATTGTATGTCATGGATCATTGTTTGCCTTAAAATACCCTAGTACATTATGTTTATGTTCTTACTACTTGTGCTGGAAGGTGTTATAACTGCAGATGTGTTCCTGAACCGTAAATGGGAGCAGGTGTTTATCTCAAACCCTTCCTTTTCTATATTGATCTACATGAATTTTTCCATTAAATACTGAAAGTACTTCAATATCTCTATGTCAGGACTTCCCAAAAGATGCAACCGGGAATTTGCATGAATTGAAAGTTTTCATTGGGCAAAATTTTGATTTCTGCAAATGGATTGGCTTGTCAATTCTGGCAGGACAGGTCCCTCTCTCTCTCTACCTTTTATCATTCTGTATCTGTCATTCATTACTACTCCCTCTTTGTTATTGGTTGCCTCTTCCTACGTCTGAATCAAGACGACTTCTTTCTATATGTAGATGCTTAGAGATAAATAATGGCAAGCAGCAGCAAATTGTAATCTGCTTATCTGAGTTGTGCTAGAGAAGTGCCTATTAACGTGTCAATTTTTAATTTCTCCTTAAAGTATTGGTGTATACAATTAAGATTTGAGATATTCTACTGTCTTGATTCAGAAATTGCCTCATCATTATAATAGGGATGCTTGAAGTTTCATATATCGAATTGATTGTTATGGTAATAATTTTCAGAGATTTCGAAAAGATAATGTATTCAGAATATTTTTAACTGGGTTTAACCTTCTGCATTTGACACAAGTCTGATTGCAATCATCAATCATTACTGTTGCCTGTAATGATGTATCTCAATAATTACCTGTTGTGGTCTCTTTTGCGCTCTTTTTGACAAAGGCCTTATTCCCAGTAAGAGAGAGAGAGAGAAAGAGATGAGATGAATTCTGAAGAAGGGCGGGAAGGGATACAGAGGATGTCACAAGAAATTAGGTTATATTACCTTTGATAATGAACTGTGGTGTTTCTCAAACCAAGATATTGAGATGCAGCGCTCCCTCTCTTCTCATTCCCTTCGCCCCTGATTTTTGGAATTGGGGGAGGGGTGTAAGTATATGAATTTTATTGATTACAATGACCAATTACAACTTTCAGTATACACGTATCTTGTAATAAGAGAAGAAAAAAAACTTTCAAGATACACGTAGGCCAAAACAGTAAACAACGAACGCTATAACACTTATGCTATACAAGTAAAACATATAGCATCAATCCCCTTGGTGTCCATACTACTCACTTTTTGCCCCATTGTATTTCAAGCTGTCAACTTTCCAAGACTTTTTACAATCTTAACAGTAGAATATTAGCATTCCAATAGGCATTACTTCTAGCTCTTCACGTCTGATATACAAGTAGCCTTTGTGGCGCTAGACTATTTTCCAGAATTGAGTATTTGTGAATGTTGTCGTATTCATTAGTTGAATGCAAAGCAGATGCATATGCTGCATTGGATGTATGGACATACTAGAAAGGATCGGTTAAGGAATGACGTAATCAGGACATGGTTTTAACCCTCGGATGCGGTTGCGATTACGGTAACAGTCACATAACCACTTTTGCAGAACTGCGTGGAATGTGGCTGTTGCGGCCTAAAATATAGGACGCAGTGAGCTTGAATTTCTTTACAAGTGATGCGGCTGAGATTTAATACCACGAATTAGGAAGAAGGTAGGGGTATATTTATAGAGCGGGGTTACATGAGGGTTACCTAATACCCCCCTCCCCCTCCCCCTCCCCCGCCAACGTATTTCGTATTAATACTTTTGTTGGCGTATTGTGATTTCTCAGGGAGATAGGATTTAATAAGGAGGGGTGGTGGAGAGTAAGAATAGATCAACAAGGGTGGGCTTTGTTAATTTGTCTCCATTACTCCAACTAAACACTATAGAGGCTACTAGGACTCTAGGAGGGGGAGGGGGTTCCTTCTTTTACTTTCCTATTTTAGTTTGTTTCTTTTACAAGGTTACCTAATACTCCCCCCCCCCATGAACTCCCGATTTAAGTCTTTCATACCAATTGTCACAATTTTTTTTTTTAATAATAATACCTTATATATTAACTAGGGTGCATCGTTTATATCTTATTATTCCCTAAAAATCGTATTACTACGAAAACCTCAAACGTATTACAATCTACGCGTATTGGAGAGTATCATGATTAGGTAACTCTACTTGCATCTATTGAGTATAAGGTGAGGGAGAATAGCTTAAGTGGTTTGGTCATGTAAAACAGAGATCTAGTGATACATTAGTTAGGTGGCTTAAAGAGTAACAAAATGATAGAATTGTTAGGGGTAGAAGAAGACCAAGGAAAACTTTAAGTGACATTTCTTACCAAGTTGGCGCGGGATCAAGTCCCATACCAAACACTATGTTTTTTTTTTTTTTTGTAATTTTTTTTTCCTCACATTTTATTTGTACATATATGTATTTTATTATATACATTAATTAACTAATTTAAATTATTCCTTTAAATTATATGCAATACTACTATGGGTAGCATTATAAGGGTACTAAGGGATGTTCTTTGATTAACCAAGTCTTGTCAGGGTTTTTCTAATTTTGTTAGTCAGATTTGGTTGTGATTTTTTGCAATTTAGATCTACCCATTAATCCCAATGTTGTATTTTGTCAATCATAACAAGAAATTTCATCTGGGTGTACGGAGTACCAAATTTTGTAGGAATTTGACAATTTTTGACCCAAATTTGTGACTAGGAGGCTACAAAGCAATATTATGCAACTAGTAGTCTTGTAATTTTTTTTGACAATAGTAGTCTTGTAATTGGGTATGCTCTTTGTTCAGTTTTACTAGATGTGATAAATAAATATGCAATTACTCAGTTAAATTATCTTGGAGTCTCGGACTGTTGATTGCCTTGCAGTATTTAACCTCCCACTTTAGGGGTTTGGATTTTGGAGAAACTAAGCGGTCGATGGTTGGCGGTGACCCAGCACCCATAAAATTCTCGCCACTGATTGCATATGTGTTTGTAACACCCTACTGACCAAACTAGGGAAGAAAATATGCTAAACTAGCTTCCCAACTGCAACTTTATTCCACTATACCATATTCCTGACCACAGTCCACTCTTCTTTGAGTAACAAACCCTGTCCTAGTTTTTAATTATACCTTGTCACAGGAAACTTCTGCAATTACCATTCGCTTGCTGAAAGGTTTTAGGGACTAGGAAGTGAAGGAACATATGTGATCAATAAATGTTCATACACGTTAAAACAGAAAATATTACTTAAAGATTCCCAAAAAATAAGAGATGTCTAGTCTTCCAAACCCTGATAATTGCTGTTATTTTCTCAGTTAGCCATTCACAGTTGGTCATTTTTTATTGCCTTGTGTTTATTAGATTACATAAATATCTAAAATGGAAGGCAATCAGGGCTGAAGACAGTACATCACTTAGCTTTGCACATCATCAACACACGTCTTTACATAATACAAGGCAGACTTCTGTTTATTAGCTATCAAACCAGTTGTCAGAAAATAGCTGAATCCCTTGTAGCAGTAAACAAGCAGACACAAATAACCCCGACTAAAATTGACTAACTGTCAGCAAAGGAAATAGCTGTGGTTCTGTTTTAGTTCAATTCGAACCTTGAGATTTACTGTACAAAGTAACCATTTTCTCTTCTCATTCCCATTGTCATGAAAGGTTAGAAACTTAATTTCCTTTATTGAGAAAGAAACTGCAATGAGTTTTAGAAGTAAAGGAGCTCTTTGACTTGTCAGTTTTATTCCTTACTCTGTACAATCATATTTTAATAGCAATCGGGATGGCAAGGAGAGTAGGAGACTTGGAAAATGAAATTTCTTCTGACCATTTTACTTTTATTAGGGAACAGAAGGAATTGAGCTGGAAAAATAACAAATGATTTTTTTTCAATGCATTGAATTTGACATGATTAAGGATGATAAGGTTGTCAGATGTTTGTGTTGAAACCAAAATATGGATCATGTACATAAATTGTGTCTTTATTAACTATTTTTACAGCTACTGAAACAAAGATCCTAAAGTGTTAAATATGTTTATCACAAAATGTATTCCTTGCACAGTTGCACTCCTTGTCTTTGTGACTAAAAACTCCTCTGGTTTCGTAATTCCCCAATTTGTTCAAAGGATTTGAATTTGGAAATATATTTCTCATACCTATGGTGGTCATCCCCCCCCCTCCCCCCCTCCCCCAAAAAAAAAAAAAAAAAAAAAAATTATTGGCTTTCCTGTTGTATTCTCTCCCTGCCAATTACTGATTTTGAACTATTATATCCAGGGACTATCATTTCTTCTTTCTGTGGTGCTAAAAGCTCTGGGCCCACACAGAGATAGATATTATGATAGTGATGAGGAGTCCTATGCTGCTTCTAGGCGTCCTCTTTTGAGAAACTCTGCTGATCCATCTCATCTTGTTGTTGACCCTCGCTATGTGCCTAAGAAGTGACATAAAACATGTGTTAAATCATGTGGTAAGTCTTATAGTGTTCATTAAATTTGTATGCTCTTGTTTTCATCTTTTCTTTTGATGGTCACTTTCATCTCTTTCTCAATCAGCCCCACTTTATATTGGTAGAAGTTGTGTTTGGGTGAGCGGATCAATTTTCTCTGGTGCTAGTTTGAATTCTGCAAGATTACCATCCAAATAGGGTTTTAGTTCTGGGGAAATAGAGGGCTTCTACCTTTAGCCTAAAATTCTCTACTGCTGTAACTGTTCTCCCATTAATGTTTTTGAACTGCATTAATCATTCAGGCTGACAGTACCTTTGAAACCAATGCATATTGAGATTTTTTTTCTCCTTTTTAATCTGGCATTGTTTTAGAAATAGTTCCATCTTCCTTCCCTCTTTGTACAACTGAATTCTACCAAAGCTGGAAAGGATTTGGAAGGAAATTCTTTCCTTTCCCTCCTCTTTCCTTCAACGTTGTTCTTCCAAAGTCCAAACATACTACGTAGTATTAATGATTTTGCAGTGTTACTTTTAGCATGTACATTAATACGTGGCTCTTTAAAGGGCTCTCTGTCTTTCCATTTAGATACACTTAAGGTTATTTAATAAATAATTAGAGAGCCAGGAACATGTTCCAATGTCTCATGCAATGAGATAGAGAACTAGCTTTTTAAAGAAAATTAAATTGCTCTTGACAAAGTGTCATCCTCAAGTGGCTCTCTATGGAGAGCTAACCAATATAACCAATATCCCCAACTATGGCTCTCCAATTTCTTTCTCTTTCTTGAGTCTTTTGGAACTCAAAGACACCCATTGAACACACTCTACACGTTGCTTCTTCTAGCACCATCGACACTTTTGTTTATCTTCTTGGAGTTGTTCTCTTGTTTTATACAAAGTACATTTCATTTTCTGTTATACTTGTAATTTTTTATTTCCTATCTTGTCGTTAATCTTGAATTTTCTTCTCTAGGATTATGGATTATTGAATCTTCATCGCCAAGATTTTGTGGATAGTGTGACTGCTTGTGAATGTTGCAGATTTCGTTTATGTGTTCAAAGGTTTGACCAGATCATACTGGATTAGTGCGTTATGTTTATACTGATGTATATGTGTTCATCCTTTCTCCTCGTTGTAGTTTTGTTAAATTTGCATATAAGTTTTGCTACTGTTACCTCTTTCTCATATTGGTTGTGACTGGAGGTTTTGGTATTTATTAAGTATGTTGAAACTGTAGTATAAGATTCTCTAGAAATGTAAAATTATGGCCGTTTGCTGTTGAGATTCAATACGCACAATTAGGAATCTAGGATACATAATTAAGAATAGAGAAAATATAAGTTTATCACCTAGATACAATGGCAATTAGGTAATTAAATTGCTTTGATATTCGTGCAAAAATAAAATCAATTAATTAATTGTTTGTAAACTTGGCATGAATTTTTGAGCTTCTTGCTTCACCATTAATGGAGATCGAAAGCTCACAAGCAATTCAAGAAGAGAAAGCTTAGCTTTAATGAAGAAATCAATAGAGGAGAGAAGCTTACATGCTCTTTAGGGTTAACCATTCCCTTTATTTCTCCATTTTTTTAAGGGTTATTGTTTAATTCAGGCAAAGCTGGGAATGGTGGTGTTGGTGTTGGCGAAGTCTCCAATGATGTAGCTTGAAGAAGGAGACGAAGGTGAGTGGGGATCGAAGGAAGAAGCAGATGAAGAAGATGGAGGTTGGTGAAGGAAGGAGATAATAGGGGTAAAATTATACTCATTGACATCAACTTTTGAATATGTTGCAAATATTGACACATGTATCACTCGTTGAATTGAAACTAACTTGCTAAGAAAGAATAAAATAAACATAAAGGCTCTAAACACTCAGGTTTACTCTACGTCGGCTATCTATATAATTTCAATTTTTCTAACACATTAAGCCCTGTGCTTTTGAGTTTCTAGGCAGAGTAAGAGTCAGTAGAGTAGAGCAGATTGTAGCAGAGCAGAGCAAATTTCATTACCGCATTATTATCACTATTATTATTATCGCATTATTATTATAATCATTAAATATTATTATTATTATTATTATTATTATTATTAAATACTAATTTTTTATTATTATTAAATATTAATTTATTGTTATTATTATTATTATTACATTAATAATAATTATTATTATTATAATAATAATAATAATTATTAAATATTAATTATTATTATTATTATTAAATATTATTTATTTATTATTAATAAATATTAATTATTTATTATTATTATTATTAAAAATTAATAATTATTATCTTTGAATATTAGTCATTATTTTTCAAATATTAATTTTTATTATAAAAAATCAATTATTATTATTATTATTATTAATAATAATTATTAGTATTATCATTATTATTATTGCTATTTTTATTACTATTATTATTATTATAAAATATTAATTATTATTATAATAAATCAATATTAATTATTTTTTTTAAGTAGAGCAGGACTCAGTAAAGTAGAGCAGCTCTAAAGAACAGGGCGTAAGAATTATTTGCAAACAAATGAATGTTGAAAAGGAATTTTCAAACTTTTACAAGGGTTAAAGTTAAGTAAAATTGGTTATTTGGTGTCATTGATGTTACTTTAGTTATTTTTGTAACAAGTTGGTGTCAATCTAACAAGTGAACAATTTAGTGTCATTAATTACAAAACACCACACAGTTCATGTCAATGAGAATAATTTTGCCTAAATTGGGGCAAGCCCATAAGAATATAGGTTATAATTATTAGTTTATTACCATAAAGTGGGAGTGCACAAATTTCTGAGCCCTTCCCCTAAATAATGTTAGAAAAACACGCAATTCCCAAATTACAACTAATATTTTTTTTAATTCCCATCGTACTCTCCACGTCAGTAGAGAAAATAAACCGGTTTATTTTATTTTATTTATTTTTTTTCCGGTCCAGCTACAAATAACTACTTGAAGTAGCGGTGTTTATAATATAAACCGCTACTTCAAGTAGCGATTTCTATTTTACAAACCACTACTTAAGGTAGCGGTTCATTCAAGGAACACAGCTACTTCAAGTAGCGGTTTTTACTGTAAGATTTTATTTTTATTTTTATTTATTTTTATTTTTTATAACATATCGGTACATCAGCTGATTAGGGAATTTTTACCCCGCCACGTGGACCAATCAAGACCCTCCACGTGGACCAACCAGAGTCCGCCACGTGTCACTCAATGAAGAATACAAAGTGGACAAATCAGGGCATGACACGTGGCAGGCAGATGTCAGACTAGGAATGGCTGCCTTCAAGGCCCAAACTCCTAGGCAGCCCAATTAGTCCTAGGTTTCCGTAACCTAGGATTGGGCACGTATTTCGAGACCCTATAAAAGGGAGATGTTCCCACCTAGGGAATTACATTTATTCACCAATATTCAGAGATCATTAATTGCAGAATTGAATATACTTGAGAGTTTACACTTAGATATTGAGGCTGTTCGCTATAGCCGGATGATCACTTCTCTTCCAAGAGGAACCTGATCCCATTTACATTCCGCATTTTTTACATCCAAACACGTTCTAACTTAGTTGTCGGAGGCGGAGTTCCCACCCACCGGAGGCGCCGTTGTTATGCAGGTACAGGTACCTGAAATCCAGTTTTAGAATTGTTATTCTCCCCTAGGATACAGAAAACCCCGAAACATTTGGCGCCGTTTGCGGGGAGAGTACTTCTAAAATGGCTTCACAAGAACCAGTACCGCCTCCTAATGAGAAACGGCCTATGGCTGATGCTCAGGTCTATACGGACTAAGACACTGATGACGACTTTGAGGTCGAAACATATGTGGTTGCCGACGGTTTACTGAGAACAAGACGCACTCGTCCCATAGAAAGAAGGGAATGGGACAATGATCAAGCAGGTCCTAGTCAACCATCCGGACAGCCGACTGGGCAACCCCAGGCGGCCGAAGACTCAGCCCCAATCACCCGAGACTGCCTCATGAGATTCATGACGAGTTTCAAGGGGGAGATACAGGACCTCATTGAGAAAAAGTCGGCTGGCTCTAACAAGGAGCAGTCGGCCAAGAAGATTTCCCGTTCTAGGAGGAACAAGTCTGTCAAGGACCGAGAATCCACTCCGCATCCTAAATCAAAGGAGGGGAAGGGGCCCTTGATTGATCTTACAAAGATCCGATTCCCTGAGACAGGGACGAGGAAGGCCATTTGGCACGTCTAGTCGGATGGCACAAAGAAGACTTATTCTGATGACCGGATGTTAATCCAGCAAAAGAAGAGCCAACAGCTTTCTAAGTCGGCTTCTGTGTCGAGTTATCCAGACAGCTTTCATAATACCTCAATGAGGTATTCACAATCAAATCGAGAGGGTCAGTTAGGCGGCCTGTCCGTCCACTCTGGCCCTTAGATAATCCATTCGGCTTCGTATGTGCCTCAACAACCATAAATGCTGTATGGACAACCTTACATATAGCCGACTTTCTTTGGGGTGCAGGCGACACAAAATGTCCAACCTTTGGACTGGCAGCTCCGTCTACTAAAACTTGGGGAACAACCCTCAGCGTTCTCCAAGGAAATAACCAAGGCGGCACAACCGACCAAGGTAAAAAATGTTCTGGTAGGTACTTATGATGGTACCACCAACCCAGAAGATCACCTCATGGCCTACACCAACCTCATGTATCTACAAGGGTTGGATAATGCTGCCTGGTGTCGATGCTTCCTGGCCACATTGAAGGGCGTCGCCCAACGATGGTTCGGTAACTTGCCAGCCGGATGCATCAACAGCTTTAAGACGCTTGCGTGCTTGTTTGCATCCAACTTCTCTATGAACATCCCTGCTAAGAGAACAAGTCTTGACTTGGGAGCCTTCAGCAGGGAGATAGAGAACAGCTTCGGTCATATATCAGGCGGTTCAATCTGATGAGAATTCAGATTCAAGGGCTGTCTGATGAGGTGGCCTATACAGACTTTTTCAAAGGTTCGAAAGACGGGTCGGCTTTTAAGTTTGATCTCATCAGAAAGAGGGTAGCTACCCTCCAAGAGGCACTGATAGAGGCAAACACCTATATACAGGCAACCGAACTCTGCAACATCAGTAAGCAGTCGGACCCAATGCGGTCAGACAAAAAAGAGAGTCGGCCATCACAGCTGGCTAAGAAAAAAGAGAATAAAAGGAGAAAAGAAGTCTGGGCGGCCGACAACTCTAAGCAGTCGTCCCAGAAGAGAAAGAAAGAATTTAAACCATACACCCCCAAGTATGAGTTTAACAAAGATTGTTACTCCATCCTCATGGAGATCAAAGACCGGGTGACCATTGAGAAGCCGGTTGCTATGAAAGGTTCTGCCAAAAACCGGAACAAGAATAAATTTTGTCATTTCCATGAGGACATTGGCCATGACACCAACAACTGCTATAGTCTCAAGCGGCTGTTGGACCATCTGGCTGACAAAGGAGTGCTTAAGTCTTACATTCTGAGGTCTAAGGTTACTCTGCAAACTAACAATTGGCAATCGTCCAAAAAGAAGCCGCAATCTGCTATAGTTCGGACACAGATGAAGAAACGATCTATACAATAGCAGGTGGCTTTGCTGAAGGCGGCCAAACCATCCGGGGTACCAAGGACTACATCAGGCGGTTGGATGTCAGCTCAGTTGATGAGGGGCAAGCGTCCAAGGATACTTTCCCTGAAGTTATCATCACTGAGAAAGATAGGGGAAAGGTCAGGAGGCCACATGATGACCCCATTGTCATCGAGTGCAAGGTAGCCAACCAAAAGGTAGGCCGAATCCTTATAGACACTGGTAGTTACTCTGATCTCATCAATCACAGGTGCTTGGCGAAGCTCAAGTACAAGCCTGAGAGCATGCACAAGGTATCTCACCCCTTAGTTGGTTTTGGGGGTGGAGTGGTGCATCCGGTAAGCCGGATAGATTTACCCATTCGGTTAAATGAGAAGGGAGAAGGGCGCCACATGGTTCTCCGTTTCTTAGTAGTTGAAGAGCTAACAACTTATAACTTGATATTGGGTCGTCCCACTTTGAATGAATCCAAGGCAGTTATCATTCCATCCCTTATGCTCCTAAAGTTTGAGAAAGATGATGGTTCTGTTGGCTCCTTAAATGGGGACCAGAAGACGGCCAGAGAGTGTTATCTCTCAGACGTCAAGCCCACTGTGGCCATATCCGACTAGAGTGACGAACCAATAGACTTTGAACAGGTCAAAGAAGCGACGCCTGCTCCCACAGCAGGCGGTAAAAAGAGAAAGACCGAC